TGGCAGAGAAATTGGCTCCGGAGAAGCGTCACAGCTTCGTTCACAACGGTCTCCATTTTCCCCAATTTTTCCCTGATTCTGATTCTGACTCTTAGTCGATTCAGTAGACTATTTCCGATATCTGATTCTGGTGAGCCAATTGGAGTTCCTTCTATCTGATTGCGTCCTCCTGGCTGCTCTGCTATTTCTGCAGGCAACACGGTGTTTGAATGGGACCAAACCCTAGACGAGGTTAATATGTACATAAAGAGGCCGATGGAAGTTCGTCCGCAGCAGTTCCACTGCGTGATTCGGTCTAATCATCTCACGTTCGGCATCAAAGGCAGCCCTCCTTTTCTCGATGTCGGTTCCGGTTTTTGCACACTCTCCAGATTCGATTAGTTTATGTTCCCTCGAGGATTCGATGATTATGTGATGTCTGTAATTTGATTGATTTGCAGCATGACCTCGCTCATCCGGTGAAGACAGACTGTTCTTTCTGGACTATAGGTACGTCAAATTTTGCTATCTACGTTTCTGCTATGTGGTCTAGACAGTGTGGGTTTGGGAACTTGCTGAGAGTTTGGAAGTTTACAGAAGGACGATCTGTTCATCTGCCTGTGGACGGGAAATGGGTAGTGTTGGTGAATTAAGTTGGGTTCTTTTCTTGTCTCGTGTTAGAGGATGATATAATGCACATTACTCTGCAAAAGAGGGATAAGGGGCAGATGTGGGCTTCTCCTCTTATGGGTGATGGCCAGCTGGATCCTTATGCAGCTGATATTGAGCAGAAGCGTCTTATGCTCCAGAGATTTCAGGAAGAGGTAAGTTGCTAATGCGTGTGATTTGGTTTCTCTCTAATTATTGTTGTTCATACATACGTCTACAGTTTTGTTCCCTTTGTTTTTTCTATTGTGTTTCAATGGCTGAACAATGCACGATTTCACTGATCATTAGAGTTTGGCGTGTTTGCTGGTGCACCTATCTTTCCGATTGTTTCAGAAATTTGATGGTATAACCAGTACCCTTTTGTGTGTAGCTTATCCCTTATTGCCAGATTTTGTAAACAGTTCTTTCATAATATAATAACTGGAGATCTTACTGATGCTAGGACACTTTTAATGAATTCTTGAATCTTGAGAAGGAACTGGGTATATGAGTAAAGTAGTAATCTCCTTCTGGCTTCTGTCAAATATGCTAAGATTTGGTGAAAGTGTTATGTGAAAGATAGTCCACGGAAGGGCCAGAATGCTCAGTAGGTTTGATAGCTTACTCCCGCCTTGGATGTGAATGTGTATGTTGATTACGAGGTCGAATTTCTAAAACATTCAATGATTTGCTATTCCCGGTAGACTGTTACGTTATATCATTCTTTTCAACCAGGATGCTGTGACACAATGCTTTCCTGCTAATTGAAGTATATATGGCATTCTCTACCACACTGTTGACTTGACACTCTGAATGTGAGATGAGATGGAGTTGGTTTTACCTTATGTTGGGCTGCTTATAGTTTTAGCTTAAAACGTCTTAATTGGGTCAGCACTCAGCATTGTTCAATTTGGCAATCACCACCTTATGCATGGAACTCATTCGTTTGTTTATCCAGCTTAATTCACCTTGCACCTCTATGACTCTGCAGTCGTGGTGAAACTGATAGACTCTCTAATGCTTTAAGCTTAACGACTGACTGCCTCTTGATTCTCTTTTAGTTTCGTGCACGAATCTTATCTTCACAGGTGCTAATAACGTAACCTTCCATTTATGCAGAATCCGGGTTTCGACTTCTCACAAGCTCAATTTACAGGGAATTGCCCCGATCCAAGAACTTTCATGGGAGGGATTCGTAACGATTGACCATGCCATTGCGTCGTATTGTTGTTTTGTCAGGCTGGTGGCCTAATCCAGACGTTCTTGTAGAAAACAGTCCTGTATTCTCTACTTTCAAGCCAGGTCTGGCTTCTCAGCAAAAACGATCAGCAACCGGCTTCTATGTCATATATAGGATGTAGCACCAGTTGCTCGTTCTCAAGTTGAAGTTGCACAATTTGTATATGATTTATGGCTTGGGAAATGACTGTCCCTTCTGCGCTTGTTCTGAGGATGGACGAAAACTCGACTTTGTTCAATGATCCATCTGTCATGTACATCAGTACACCAGACTTCTATGCTGTTTTGTATTGCAGCAGTGTCTGTCATTATATGAGCTGCGTGGTTTGCTTCTCTTTTTGACACGTCTTCGCCTTCCCTGTGTACCCTCCCTTGGACTGCAGCAGTCCGATTCCAGAATTATATTGTCTATTATGATCATGTCCAAAATGCAAGTGAAATAATTTTGAGATAGATATAATTAATAAAAACTTCAAAGTGATATTTTAAGGACCAATATACCTCAGACAACGATACCTCAGACAACGATAGACCTGGTCTTAGGGTAGAAATCGGTATCGGTATTCTAATACTTACTACTATAAGTGGGGGTTGGACATGATAGTTCTTAGAAGCATCAATACTTGAAGGTTATTATAATGACCAAATTCTAAAGTTATGGTTTGCCTTCAACTTGCTTGGAGCATTTCAATTATGCATCAATTGTTCTCTCCGTGTAGTTAACTCTCAGACAAATCGAAAATCTTGCTGATATGTGCTTGATTGTAGCTAAATTTAGGGTTCTACTGCATTGTTGCTTTACTCTTTATTCGTGGTTGAGTCTGCTTCAAAAAATTTAGTTTGATTTTAGAAAATTTTGCTTCTGCAGTCCTGTCTTGCCACCAACGCGTTCAATAGATGGAGACGGGAGAGGCGAAGGCTATTTTTGTGTTGTTGTTGCTGGTTTAGGGATCGGTTTGTGAAGAAGAGGGAGAAGAGAGGGGGAAAGGAAAATGTAGGAGAGGGGGATAACTCTTTTCTCCGACAAAAATGGAGTGAAGAAAGGAATTATGATCAGTAAGAATATGGTTATCTTACATAACGGTCTCTATTATGTTTGAATTGAGCTTGAGAGGCAGTGATAAGGACGAGCTGCAACCAATTCATAGTGAGAAGAGAGCTATGAACTGTGATCATGTCTTATTTCAAGTTAGAAGGTAGTTTCAGTATAAGGATTATTTAATTTGACAAGTTGTTTCGTCCATGATTCTTGGTAGTTTCAGTGCCATTCTAGCCAATGTTTAGTCTGTAATTTTTGAAAATTGATGTGCGAGTAATGACTTTCACTTAGCTTCAACTATTATGTGTGTATTTATTGGCATGTGATAGAATTCTCTTTTCCTTTTCATTGAATTCATTTTCATATTCTAATTGTATTATTTGTACATAGGCAAATCATGCTTGAGATGGCAACTCGCTGATATGGCTGGTGCAAGGAATGAAGCCATCATTAGAATTCAGACCGACAACGGGAAGGGATGTCCAGGACTAATTCAATGATGATTGATGATGGTATAATAAAAACTGCAGTGTGCATCAGCACCAATTTCTAGGCCTAAGTAAAGGTATTCAACCCAGAACTCTGCTTAGCGCTAAAAATTGCCCTCACCCAACCTTGATTCTGTTTGACCCACTTCTGAAGAGTCAAGATATATGACTAATCCTCCCCTTTCGTATTTTCTTATTGACTCTTTCTGACCCTGTAGGTTGGGGCGGGTTGGGAAGAATTGGATTAGTGGGTTGGTCCTAATCAAGTGGAATCTCAATCCCTTCACTCTCACTTGCTTTCTCTCCCATTCCACAAGTGGGTAACATACAGTAATCCGGCCAACGGGTCGGGTAATAAGCTAGTATTAAACTAATAAACCGCAACACATATCCCACCTGCTGGTCTCTCCCATTGTGAGTATTAAAAAAAACAATCGTTATCTACGCATAGTTAGTAAATAATCCGTTTAATACATGTAACAGTACGTATTTTATCTGTTTAAAACTTCCGTATCTGTATTATTGTCAAACCATTTCATTTGTTTCCATTCATTTGATGGCTCCCGTACTAAACGGGTATAAAACCTGTATAACACGTTTAATATCCGTATTTAATGAATTAAAATGTTAACTTTACTATTATTTTATATATTTATTTATTTATTTATAAGATAATTAATTTTATATATTTATGACTATTAATGTACTATTAAATGTAACATTTGCTTATAGACGAAGTATAATACCCGTACGTAACATTTCCAGGTTCTTAATGAGTAAATTGTTGATATCTCTCATGCGGTTTCAGTTTCTCTCATCGTAGTCCCTTTCTCTACCCTTCCGCAATTCGTCGAGAAACATAGAGTGTACGACAAATCTGAGTCTAGATTTCCAACCGGCATCTGTGGCTCAGATCTTTTCTCGGGTGGATTAATCAATCGGTTAGTCTCAAAGAAAGCATTCTAATTCTTGAAACCCTTTAGAGGATTGTTCAGCAACGTCAAAATTTGTTGATGAAAGGGAATTTAGTTCATCTTCCAGCACCGCCAATGATAGGCTTGACATGATCTGCGTTTTTTATCAGAAAATACGCATTCTGGTAAAGCTAAATTCGTGAATTTTCGCCTATCTATAAAAAATTCGCGTTTTTGCGAACTAGAGCGCGAGCATCGGGATGGTAGCAGCGAATTGTGTAACCTAACGTGCTGACTTATTCCCACCTCTCCAAACATTTCTTTTATATATCGACGGATCTACGGAACAGAAAAGTTTCATTAGAAAACATGTGGCAAATGTACAAATGTGTATATTCATCTCTGCAATTCTTTATCCCTTTGAACATCTATCTTTGTACGTACATCACAAAATATTACAATTGGCAAATCAAGTTACTTAGAAAAGAATCGTATCACCAACCTCTCTTCAAATTCTTTCATTTTCACAAATGCATCTGCAGCTAAACTAGTTAAACAGAGGATTTCAACCTTCATCTCCCCCTTTATGATCCCACAAATGATGATGAAACCTCATCCCCAATTAGCTATGAACAAGAACAATCAAATCAAATTCAATTTGCATCTTTACAAAGTACCCTTCTTCCTCCTCCATTATCTCTTTCTCTGCTCAATCTCCTCAATCCTTCTCACCACCTCGCTCATCTTTGGCCGCTTCTCCGGCGGCCCAGAAGTACACTCCAGCGCCAAGTCAGTAAACTGAAACATCTCGCCGTGACCTTCCCTCGACTGCATAATCTCTATATCCAATATGTCCGTCGACCAGTCACTGTTCACCGCCGACCTGACCCACCCTGACAGGTCATCCAGCTGAGACGTCGCCTCGTTATCCCTCGTCGTCGTCGACGGCCTGTCGTCGGGGATCTTCCCCGTGATGACCTCCAGGAGCAGGATTCCGAAGCAGTACACGTCAGCCTTGTGCGTCAGCCGCTTCCCCTGACAGTACTCGGGCGACCGCCCTACAGCCAGCCTCTCCGACACCTTCTGCGACTGAAGTAGCGGCAGCAGGCCGTAATCGGTGAGCTTGCAGTAGTAGTTCAGACCTTCCCTGTGAACATGGACGTTGGAGGATTTGAGGTTGCCGTGAGGCGCCCTGTGGGAAGGTAAAGCGGTGTGGAGAAACGTCAAACCCTTGGCTATGGCTTTGATTATTGACACCCTCGCTGTCCAATCCAATGTCATTCTTCCAATTCCTCTGTTATCTGCGAATGGCAAAAAAACAGAGTATCAGAGTAATACGGTAGTGATGATGGGATTACAGAGGAGCGGAAAGATGAACTGACCGTGTAGCATTTCGAAGAGGTTGTCGCCATGGATGTACTCGTAGATGATGAGCTTTTGGTCAGGGGAGTAGTAGAAGGAGACGAGCTGTGCCAGGTTGTGGTGCTTCAGGTTTCCGAGGAGCTGCATCTGCTGGACGAATTCTTTCTGAGACAAGACGCTCACTTTCCTGAGGCGCTTAACGGCGACGACCGCTCCTGATTCAAGGGTTGCCTTGTATGTACTTCCGTTCTTGCCCTTCCCCAGGACTTCAGCCGAGGCTCTCAGCAGCTCTTCAAGATCGAAGGCAGGAATGTCTTCGACGAAGAAGTCCAATTCCACTGTTCTCTCTGGGTCCGTACCGCTCCCTGAGTAACCCTTCCTCTTCTCCGACCACTCCATGTAGCTTCGGCCTGTTGGAAAACAGAAACAATCCATTAAAAATTATTTGTACAGTGAAACCCAAACAACCCATTACTCCAATTCAACCAATTAATCCAATTCAATTGCAAGAAATGAACTTTTTTATTACCTTCGGGAGTTTGGGTCCCCTTCCCCTGCTTCCGGCAACGGAGGAGGCAGAGTATGATGATGAATAGGGGCAATAATGCACCTCCAAGAGCGATCACTGCAATTACCCATAGATTAACTCCAATTTTCCTTTTCCGCCACGGAGTCGGACTCGGCGGTGGAGGCGGAGGCGGATGCAGAGGCGACGGGGGCGGGGGCGGAACAGGGCAGGAGTCCAACGGTGGGCCGCAGAGATCCTGCGAGTTGTGGTCGAAGGAGCTACGGGGAAACCTCTCCAGAGCCGCCGTTTGAGGGATCCGACCTCCTATCAGATTGTACGACACATTGAATCGGATCAACCCAGACTGATTAAAACCCGGGATCGTCCCCTGCAGAGAATTGCTCTCCAGCTCCAGGATTTTCAAATTGGGCAGGGCAGCATACTCTGGCGGGATCGAACCGGTGAACCAGTTGAATGACAGGGAGACTTGCTCCATCCTGACGAGGCTAGTTAGATTAGGAAGCGGCCCACGGAGGGAATTGTTGACGAAGCTGACTTTGGTCAGGAATGTGATGTTCTGCAGGAACTGGGTCGGAAGGTTTCCCGTCAGGTTGATCCCCTGAAGCACCAGGTGGACCACGTGGCCGTTATCGCAGGCGATGCCCGGCCATCGGCTGGAACTCCGGCGGCAAGGCGGCCCCGTCCACAGCGCGTGGAGATTCGCCGTCGAGGGAAGCGAGTCCCTGATCTGCAGGAGCGCGTCTCGCTCCTCCGGGTAGAAGTCATTGTCAGCGGAGTCAACGAGAGGGGCAGGGGAAAGAAGAAACAGAGCAAGGAAGATTGAAACTGAAACTCGCAGCAATTGGAGCTGCGATAGATTCATGGCAGTGCGGGATTAGAGAGGAACAGAATAAGATTGAGGGGGGGAAGAGAAAGATCTAAGCAGCGGGAGTATTGCTGCTACAAGGGGAAGAGGTTTTTCTTCCCATCAGAGGGTTCCATATGAAATGGAATTGTCTCTGTTTTTCTTTTCTCTTCTTCTTGTTTGGGTGATTTTGTTGAGGAGGAAAGGAAAATACCAAAAGGAGAGTGAAGAATTAAGGAGGCAGGACAAAGAAGGGGAGGGAATTTGTGTCAATGTCATTTCAGAAGAGGACGCCGTTGGTGGTGGACTGGTGTTCTGGGTTTTTGGGGGAAAGCGGACGCCACAAGGAATTGTGATTAACTGTTAAATGGTCAGGTAATTATGTTCTGATTCCTCGATACCACAATAATCATAATTAATTACGAGAAATTAGTATTTCATGCGACAGCTTGGTTGGTAATGGCCTATGGAATGGGATTATTCAGTTAATTAATCTTTTATTCCGTTTTTTTATTCTTCTGTGGAAGTTAATGATGGCGAGAGTGGATGGTGCTGGTAAGCAAAAATCATAATATCATATTTCTAAAAGTCATTAAGTATGGGTGATATTATTTTTTTTGGTAAGAGCAAGTATGGGTGATTAGGGCTGGGAAACAATACGGTCTGGTCCAGACCAGACCATATATACGGTCTATGGTCTAGATCGAGAGACTGAAGTATAGACCACAGACCAGACCACAGACTATACGGTCCGGTCCAGACCACGCCTGTGCGGTCTGGTTCGGTCTGGTCTGGTCCAGATAGACCACAATCAACAAAAAATGAATAATTTGTTTATTCAACCACACAAAAAATTGAACCAATAACCAAGCAAAATAACTGTTATTTGCCTTAAAACATTAATCCTAACATGCATGAATAATTTTGATACCCTAAATCTTAGTACATAACAAAGATACAAAGTAAAAGTTTCCCAACTTGCACCATAACGTCATAAACATTAACATAATGTCATATGGAGACACGATTAGCTCTACTCTCTGGTTAAATGTGGTTGTGAATGAAGGAGGGTCGGGATTCACAAACTAAGGTTGAGACTTGGGTGTCGTTGTGGGAGTTGGGAGAGTGGTCGAATGGGATGTTAACACTTATTGACATGTCGGTTGGGTCCACGGTTTGGTCCGGTAAACCGCGGTCTAGACCAGACCAGATCAAAACATAAAATAATATAGACCATGGACAAGACCAGACCATACTTAACGGTCTACGGTCCGGACCAAACTGTGCGGTACGGTTTGAACCACAATTTTTCTAACGGTCTGGTCTATTTTCCCAGCCCTATGGGTGATATTACATCTAGTTTGGGATCGTAGAGGCTTTGAAAAGTCAATAAGCGTCTTCACTTTGATAAAATTTATCAAAGTGAAGACGCTTATTGACTTTTCAAAGCCTCTACGATCCCAAATCATGGAGACAAATGATGAGACTGGTGGCTTTTGGATTCAATTCAAATACGAATTCCTCCCCAGTTTTTGCTTCAACTGCGGCCGTGTGGGACAAGCTCGCCAATCATGCAATTTTGATCCGCCGACGAGAAAGGAAAGATTTGGCCCCCATATGTCTACAAAAAAATATGGGGAGGAAGCTCTTTGATGGAGAGGAGCTACGAAACCAATCCCGCCACCACCCAAGCTCTGTTTGGATAAACACAACCGCGCATGATGCACAGGTGAAAGGGGCGGCTGCAAATCTGCGTTCCCAGAAGCCCACTAATCCGCCAGCTACTGGTCTTCAAGCAAAGGTGGGCAGCCCACTGTGGATGGGGACCTCGTTGGACCCTTTCCTTACAACTGAGGCCCAGAATAAAAAGGGGAGAAGCCCGGGGCGCTTCCAGGTGGCCAAAAGCCCAAAAATTGCTATCGGCAGGCATACTCGACGTGGGAAACCTAGACGCGGGCCTTCTGATGACCCAATGGAGGTCGACTGCCCAACTAAAGTGCAGCGACGAACGGGCCGAACTACTGAGGGAAGACCAATTGGCGGCCCAAAGGCTGGGGGTAACCCCTCTGAAGCCCATCGAGACTCGGGCCGGTTTCTTTTCTGAAACCTACGGCTAATGAAGAGCCGAGTAAACTGGGCCGGAAGAAGAATGGGCGCAGGACAGCTCGTCCACCAATCCCCTCGGTGGACCCGATTGTGTCGCCGTCTCCGGTGACAACACCTGATGGAAACTCTCGCCGCCGCCGACTGATACTGGAGGAAGAGTCGGAAGAGGAATTCGTTGTCCATGAAGTCCCGTCTCCTGTTAATGGTGCAAATCCGACCATGCATTCCAAACACCAGTGCCCGATTGCTGGCGAAATTGTGGATGCCGTCCCACTGCGGATGTTGGCTCCGGCTCCTAGGAGTATTGAAGATAGGGTTCCTCACCTCAGGGAGACGAGAACCCTTCGGCGCCAACTTCCTAGGACAGGCTCAGTCCACGACGAAGAGGGGAATGGACAGCACTCGAGATCGGGGACGGAGGATGAGTGGAAAAGGAAAGACAAACAGCCCCTGGTGGCTCCGAGGACATTGGAGAGCTCGACTATTGCCCCGGAGCTGTGTGACTCGAATGGCACGAGCTCAGAGGAGGAATCTTGTTTGTTTGAAGTTCGTAGGAGGGTGCCTGAGGAGAAGGGAACTCTGCGCCGCTTAGCCCGCTCAAACAAGGTGAATCAGGTGGTGCAAGCTTTTGAGAAGGGTTTGGCCATGAAGGAAGTGGAGTCACTGGTTGAAGTACTTCAGCAACAACCTCCTGCCAATAATTCATGTATCGATATTAATGAATATGGCACCAATATTCTCGACCAGGAAAGGGGGACTAAAAAACGTCACCTTGATGAGGTTATGGGAGAATTAGCAGAAGTACCAACTCCAAAAAAGCAGTTTGTGGAGGATAAGGAAGGAATGGATAAGGTGGAGGAAGCCAGCCTAGAGTGGCCCACCCGATTAAATGAGACTTCTGGCATGGAATGTGAGAGGAATTGGACCATCCCTCACATTTCAATATGCTTTTAGTTTAGTACATTCGAATAAACCGGATCTCGTGGTTTTTTTCTGAAACACGATCGAGACGGAGAGTAGTTGCCCGTCGTATGCGGGGGTTAGGTTTCCCTTCTTCTTGTTGTTTTTTCGTCGATGCGGTTGATGCATCAGGTGGTTTGGTCGTCGCTTGGTCCCCCGAAGTCAATGCTTCGGTGTTTTATCATTCAAGTTTTTGTATTGGTGTCCGCATTAATGAAATAAACTTTGCCTATGTGGTCTTCTTCGTTTACATTAGCTGTAATACCGCTATACACAATACCCAATTGGACCAGTTACAGGGTCTTTGCATTGGCCTCCTTGATCCCTATGTAATTATTGGAGACTTTAATACTACTCTCCATGAGAATGAAAAAGACGGGGGGATTCAATGGAATGTGGGCCATGCCCTTAGACTTCGAAATCTCATTCAGGACCTGGGTCTTTTTGATCCAGGGTATCAAGGGGACCCGCTCACTTGGACAAATAAAAGAATGGGTGCGGCATGTATTCGTGAGAGGCTGGATAGGGCTTTGTGTTCCCAATCATGTCAGGAACGCTTCCCGGAAACTCTGGTTAAACATTTTACAGATCAAGGCTCGGACCATCGGGCCCTCTTGTTATCAGATAAACCGTACATTCGCCATAGTCGCCCTCTCTTCCGATTTGATGCGCGGTGGGCAGATAATCCAGAGGTGAAAGCTATGGTTTCTTACGTCTGGCAAGACAGTATTGAAGGCACCCCTATGTTTCGACTTTGGGAACGGCTCAAAAAGCTCCGCCATCTTCTATATGACTGGGGCAGAGCTGGGACCACCAATTTGCTGCGGAATATCCATACGCTGCAAGGCGAAATTGAGAGGATCAAGAGTATCCACCCGATTAACTGGGATGATATCCGTGAGTTGGAGATAGAATTGAATAGGCAATGGGAAGCCGAGGAGGTCTACTCGCAACAGAAATCCAGGGCCCACTGGCTCAAGAAGGGCGACAAAAATACCTCGTATTTCCACACAGTTACTAGAACTCGACGAAAAAAAGAATTTTGTAGCTGGGCTCCAAACTGATAGTGGGGAATGGGTCACTGATGAGAAGGCTAAAGCAGAGGTTGCGACAAATTTCTATCGCCACCTCTTCACATCCGAAAATCAGATCCCAAATATGAGAGAACGTGTGTATGCCTTGCCCATTGCCCAGAATGTGACTCCGGAAAGGAATGATGCCTTAACTGCGGCGGTGATCCCTGAGGAAGTCCGTAAGTTTGCTATGGGATCAAAGCAGGCGGCGGGGTTCGATGAGTTTACTGCCAAATTCTTCAAAGCCTTTTGGGGTATTGTAGGGCCGTCAGTGATTGATGCAGTCTGCTCGTTCTTTACAACTGGAAAAATGCTTCGTAGTTTCAATCATACATTGCTCACTTTAATCCCGAAAGTCGACAATGTTTAATCAATGAGGCAGCTGCGCCCCATCAGCCTATGCCAATTTGTGTACAAAGTAATAACCAAAATTATGGCTGAACGGCTGGCCTGTATCTTACCAACCATTGTCTCGACTGGTCAAAATGCTTTTATTCGTGAAAAACAAATTGTCGAGAATATCCTCCTCGGACATGAACTGATGCACTACCTAAAAATCAAAAAACGTGGGAAGAAAGGGTACATGGCTCTAAAGGTTGACATGGAAAAGGCCTATGATAGAGTCGAATGGACGTTTCTCCTTACGGTTTTAGAAAAGATGGGTTTCAATTCTGTCTGAAGAGGATGGATTCAGGAGTGTCTTCGGTCTACGTCCTTTATGGTAATGATGAATGGTACTCCGTCTAGTTACTTTACTCCTTCCAGGGGGCTTCGACAGGGGGATCCCCTATCACCCCTTTTATTTGTACTATGTACAGAGGGGTTTGCGGCTCTCCTGCAGAAGCCTATCTCAGAAAAGAAATTGGCAGGAATTAAAGT